AGCCTTCCCATTTGCTAGTCTACAGGACGAGATCAGAAAAACTCCTTCAGGGAAGCCAAGTGGAGTCCAGATAAAAAGAAAAACAGGATTGGGCTGGAGAGATGGCTCAGCAGTTAAGAGCACTGACTGCTCTTGCAGAGGACCCGGGTTCAATTCCCAGCACCCAGATGGTGGCTAACAACTGTCTATAACTCCAGTTCCACAGTAGCCAACCCTCTCTTCTGAACTCCATGGGCGTTGCATGACATGGGTGCACTTACACACATGCGGGTGATATATTCACACATAAAATAAAAATAAATAAAGAAAACAGGAGCAAATGCCCAGGTCTCTATTATCAGATTCCCCTAAGCACCATGGGGTTTCTGGAGGAGCTAACAGAAGCTGGACAGCAGAAATGGATCTCTTAGCTTAGCCTGGAAAAGGGACTGTACCATTCAGTCCCTTCTGAGTAAAAGATGCTATATGTTGTGAGCAGTGAGACAGCCCCCACCCTCAGAAATCAAGGCTGCAGTATAGAACACATAGAACATACCAGACCATGAATGAAACATTTGACCTAAGTTACCTCATTTGTTCCTTACAACTCAGGAAGGCAGTTATTATTATTAGTCACAGTTTACTGAGACATAGAGAGCTTAAGCTACATGTCCATAGCCACGTACCTGCCAAGTAGTGGACCTGGCATTTGAACCCAAATAATCTAGCTCTGGGGACAGTGCTCAAAGTACCAGCTAACAAACCATGTGCCAGTGTCTGCATAGTAGCTCATTTAGCAGGGAGTATGGTGGTAAGGATTGGTCCCCTGGAACCAGAGGCCGGATTCACATATAGTGAATCTCTGCTGAACACACTCCCTGGCTTAAACAATTAACCAGGCTCATTTGCAAAAGGCAAGAAAGATCAAATCTAGCTTCAAGGGTCATTGTATTAAAAATCACTACAAAGTGCTCAGGATATTCCCTAACACTGTAAGGGCCAGAGATCGTTATTGTTAACCCCCCAAAGACAGCTCTGTAAAGGTTGTCATATACTTCTATTTCTATTTTATGGTTGTCATATATTTTAGGCTCCAACTAAAAAAGGGGCTAGTTATTTGCCCAAGGATGCAGAACTGGAATTCAAGCACCCATCTCCTTGGCTCTTATATCATAATTCAAAGCATCTGCTCTAACCTTATTGCAAGAGTTCGGGGCTAGAGATAGGGCCCTTGTCAGCCACTACAAGGAATCTCTTTTCCTCCCCAGAGCAGCCACACACACTATGCCTTTAGATCAAGATCAAATGAGAAAGTCGAAGAGGTTTTATAGCCCTTTCCCTAGTCGGGTAGAGACAGGAGTAAGCCAGTCTGAGAAAAGTGGACAGTCTTCCAAAAACAGCTGCTACAAACAGGACAGTTGCCTCACATCCGACAGTCCTTCCCCTCAGCTGAGAGGCCTGGGCAGGCCTAGTCAGCGGCTTCCTCAAATACATAAACATATAAATCATGTGGGAGAGCTGGCAGGGTCACAGAAAGAAAGGCAGATACCAAGACCAAGGGAGGAGATGATGGCCCAACTCCAGACCCCACCAAGGTGGAAGGAAGAGCTGGAAATACAACAATGGGCACCCAGAGGCACAGCAGCTCCCCAAGTTCCAGTGACTTGGCAGGGAAGAGGAAGCAGGCTGGCCAGGGATCAGGAATGGCATGTTAGGGTCATTTAGGCTCGCTTCCATGAGGGAAGAGATAGACTAGGAATAATGGACAGCTGAGCCAGGACCAGTACTTTTGCACATGGGTGATGAATCAGGTTCTCAGCTATCTAGGGAGCCAGAGGAGAAACTAAGTCTCCACATGGTTTGGGGCCAAGGCTGCAGTGGGGTATGTCATACACTCCTTATCTGCTCTCATTTCCACCTGCCAGGAAGGCACCCCGCATGCATGAAACTGCTAGGACAGAATCTTGAACATTCCCTGGCATGGAAATCTCCCTCTAGCCCCAAGGGCAGCTATGTAGAGGGGAGAGGGCAGTGCAAAGCCACTGGGGAAGCAGAGAGCCAGCTGTCAGGGTGTGGAGCCAAGAGCCCCACATTCTACACGGCTCTGGGTCGAGCATCCAGGGCCAATACCCCACTGCCCACGTGGTTCACATTAGGCTCATTAGCAGCAAAATAGCAACAAGAAAACAGTACAGGGACCAGCTAATTAGCACACAGTCCACCAGCGGGCAAGCCAGCCCACTTCAAATGGGGAAGGCTGACCCACTGGCAATGCCCTCCGGAGAGCTTCCAGCCCAGAGCCTGGTCCTGGGAGAGAGGGCATGGGAGCTACAGCATAACAGGGCTGGGCAGAGAAATAAGATGGGAGTGGATACCAGCACGTCCTGCAGCAGTACCCTCTGAGACAGGAAGGTACACACAGGCTGGGTCTGTGACAATCTGCACTTACCCAACCTCAAGTTTCCAGTGTTGAAACTCTAGTCTGGCAAAGAAAAATGATGGAAAATGACATGTGAGTTAGGAAACAGCCTCCAGGCCTGGAGGTCTGAGTGCAGCCAGGCCCAGACCCCTCCAGCAACTGGGGAGAAGCTGTGAAGCTACCCTGCTCCAGTAGACCTCAGCAACACTCTACCAGCCAAAGCCTCCCTGCAGAGGCCAAGCTCTCTAGAACATACTATCCTTCCCCAACTTCCAACTTCAGATCCCTCCCCCAACCTCCAGAGTCCCCAGGGTACTGCTTCTCAAAGTGTGGTTCCTGGCCCAGCAGCCCCAGCAGCCCCTGGGTGCTTGTGGGAAGCAGTCTCCAGCCCTGCCTCATATCTGCTAATCAGAATCTGCTCTTTAGCAGGATCCATGAAGATTTGTGAGAATGTCCAGAGGGGAGTCCCTTCTGGTAGTGGACTTCAAACTCTTCTCCAGCGTTTTCTGCCACAATTACAATCATCTAAGGTGCTTTTTAAAAAATGCTAGTGCCTGGCCCTAGCCCTGAACTTCTGCTTAGCATAAAGCCATTGGGTCACCACTCCCCTGGTTTCTCTGCCCAAGGGAGTGGCTTGGAGCTGATTTGGTTTCAGACTGTCCACTAATAAGATGAGGGACCTTGAGCAAGATGCCACTTCTCCAAAGGTCACATTGTTTACCTTTTAAAATATGAGGGAAGGCTGGCTCAGCTGTAGAGCATTTATCTAACATATGAGAGGCTCTATGATTGATCTCCAGCACTAAAAGAAAGAAAGAGGCTGGCTACAGTGGCACAGACCTGTAATCCTAGCACCTGAGAAGCTGAGGCAGAACAGTCATGAGGTTGAAGCCAGCTAAGGCTACATAGTGAGATCCTGTCTCAAAAAGAGAGAGAGAAGAGAGTTTTCTCCCCAGCCTTGCCTCCAGTCACAGAGGGGCTGCATTCACCCATGAGGGTCCCCACTCATCCAGGTTCCTTGAAAAGGAAAGGGTGCGTAGGCAAGATACCCACTAAGTTTTTGTCTAGAGGTCCTCAGAGCTACATCTGCAAATAGTAAAGGGGTCAGAGCCATGAGACCCAAGGCAGAGTCCCAGAGTTTAATCATTCCTGTCACAGCCCTATCATATCACCATCTCAAGAGACCCTGGAAACCAGAGATGAGGGTACTCAGTGAGAAATACCGTGCCTTTTGTCACACACCTGCACTTTTATCTGTGAAGCCCTTATATGAGAGGCACCTGATGTTCATCCTTGAGGGAAGACAGGGAGCTGGCATGACCAAGGCCTTGCAGCCAGGGTTGGTCCTGGCAGAGGTAGTGGAAGGTACAGGAGAGACAATCAGACAGAGCTGCTAGGAAGCTGGTGTGACCTAAGAGGAGGCCTAGGATGCAAAGAAGAAAGATCCCACAGGGTTCCCTTAAACCCCCATATCCTATATCACCTGTGGGAAATGCCAGCCTCGGCTATTGTTGGGAAGGACTGAGTCAGGGGCTCAGACCACCTGGATCCCAGCCAGCCCCTACTGTGTCCTTGGCCATGTTTCCTAACCAACCACAGCCTTAGTGTCTTCCTAGGTGGGGGCAAGTGAATGTATACTTCATGGATTACTGAGAAGCTTAACTGGTATAATGTCTGTGATGAACCCAGCAAAGTGTTGGGTAATCATAATGTTCAACTCTTCACTAGTAGCAGCTCCAGCAAGTATCCTACCATCCCCAGATCCCCGATGCAGTGTGAGGTCCAGAATATAAGACCTGATACCTGGCAGCAAGGCGTAAGAAGCATCCTGGAGCCAGGTTACTGGAGTTCCAATTCTACTTCTACCATTACATAGCCAGGTAAGTCTCAGTTTCCTCATCTACCAAATGAATAGTCCCCCAAAGGGTGGGTTAAATGCACGTTGCATAAAGTGAGTACTACATAGGTATTGCTCTTGTCATTGTTACTACCTCTGACATTATTAATGGAGGTTGAGCACAGGCCATGGCTCTCTCTACCCTTAGTAGAACACTCAACCTAGAGATCATGCTCCTCCCTTGATCTTTGGTCCCCAGACAGCTAAGAGGACTTTTCTTTTTCCCATCATTTAAGTCAGCCTGGCAGTCTTCAGAGTAATCTGAGGGAAGACTGTTCCAGACAGGTTCAGAGCCTTATCTGATTATCCTAGTACCATACCTACCCGACAGGCCAGGTCTGCAAGGCCAGATGTCAGGGCAGAAGTGGACTCCCATAGCACATAACATGAATGGTGCCCCTGAAGGCTCTGGGGACAGGTGTGTTCTGCAGACCACAAGCATGTTTAGAGACATAAGGGGGTAGGGCACATGGGTACCAACACAGTAGGGCAGCAGGAGGGAATTCACAAGTTTAAAACATGAGCAGGAATTTGCTTTGAGAAACTGTTTCTAGTTGGAGGCACCTTAAAATCTCCTTGCCACTATGGAGACCAGTTGCATCCTCAGGAGGAGGCCAGGGAAAACCTGTCTATTCCAGGTCCTAGAGTCCTCAGCTAAACCCATCTCAAGAGCAAGAGGGGCAGATGGGACAGGGGGGCACTCACGTTTGATACAGTGGTTGGTGCTGTTTGCTGTCGTCCACCCTGGGCAGCACTGTCCCCCGCAGACATTCCTCCTGTGGGGTCACCAGAGCAAGGTCAACACATGGATGCTTAGAAATGGGACTAGTCATACAGCCCTCTTCAGGCAGGGCCTAGGGAAATACTTGGAGGCTGGGGAGATTGTCCCCATTCTACAGGGAAGTTGGTTGGCCCAGGAACTATGGCTTGATGCAGACCTAAGTTGAATCGTGCCTCTGCCATTCTCTGAGAAACCTCAGTGTCTCCATCTGCACAATGGAGATGATAGTTCCTGCCTCACTGAGTGATTGTCATGATCAAAGGATACACCGGTGTCTAACATCTGATACAAAGAAGACCATAAGGAGCGAGGTGTGGTGGTACACCTGTGATCCTAGCGCCAGCAAGAGTTCTAGGCCAGCCTAGGCTGTGTAACATGACCCTGTCTCAAACAACAACAAAACAAAAACAGAAAGTAACAAAGACAAGTTGGTAAGCAAGTTCAGAGAGCTTCGGTCATTTGTCAAAGCCACATAACCACCAAGCACCAGAGCTAGATTCAAACCTCAAACCAGGGTTGGCAGGGTAGAGTGTAGCTTAGTGGGAGAGTGCCTGCCTAGTGTGCTGGAGGCCCTGGGTCCTCTCCACAACAGGGAAAGCAAACAAAAAAACCTGTGTTGGCCCAACTCTAAGCCAGGTTCCTGCTCTATAATGTCTCTCATCAAAAACCACACAATATGTTCTTTGCCCTACAAATGTTGACAACCCCAAGGGAAGTTGCATGCCAGTAGTCTTAAGGATATACAAATGTGTTACCTTCTCACAAATGTAAACTAGGAGGAGTAGCCTTGTGTAGGCCCATGCACAATGAGACTGAGTGCTAAGTGGGAGGCTGAAGGAGCAGGGCTCTGAGGTCACTTCTATGGTGACAATTGTTAGGAAGAGGGGATGTGACAAAGCAGCCTCTGCTCAGCAAGCACACTCTTCACTTGGGAAGGTTAATGACATGTGGTTTATGGGGGAATGCAGTCCCCCCCACCTACCTCTGGGTGTTGTCCCTGAGGACATCTTCATGAGACCTTGACCTTTGGACCTGGGTGGGGCACTCACCTCACTTGCCCAAACTTTGCCCTCAGAATCTGGTGAGTGCCATCACTCCAAAAGGTTCTCCAGCCTTAGCACCTGCAGACCCCAATGGCTGAACAAGGGTGACTGCCAAGAAGGGCCTATCCTGGAGAAGACCTCTGGGGTCAAACCCCTTAAGCCAGGCCAGGCTTCCTGGCCCCATCAAAAGAGGCAAAGATGAAACCGGAGGTGAGTGGGAGGGAAAAGTATGGAGGCCAGAGGCTGGAGTGGGTGGCCATTCCTCAGATCTTTGGGGCCAGGATGACGAGCATCTGGTCCCGCTTAGGAGATTGTTTGACATTTGAGTGGACCCCAAAGCTTGTGTGGTTTTGGGAGTCATACAAAGAATTCAAAATAAATTCCTGCAGCTTGAAAAGGCTGAAGCCCATTCCTGGCCCTTGGGCCCAACATCGTGGGGAGCTGCCTCCCAGGGAGCTCCCAGAATGTCCTGCTGGCCAAGAGCTCTGTCTCTCTGGTTACTACCTTCAGCACCATTCTGGTTCCATGAAGTCTTCCTCCCATCAAGGTCCAAGTCACCAAGCCCCAAATAGAGGGCTGCCAGGGTTTTTGAGCATATACCTGGGTAGAAGGGAAAAGCTGTCCACCCATTTGGAAGTCACTACCCCTTGTAGTAGTGATAGGGCCTTGCAGGAGGCTGGAAGTTCTTTGAAACATATTGCATGCACCATGAGAACCCAGACAGCACAGACAGAAGAGCACACTTGACTGGAAGGTCAGAGCACTAAGGCCAGCCGAAAGAGGCCCCTTGAGCCACTATCACCCCAAAGTCCTTCAAGACAGTTTTATAGCTGAGGGTAGAAAGTCAACAGCCAGACCGGCCTCACCTGCCCATAGAAGAGAACTGGGGGATGTCAGAGCCACAGCAAGGACAAGCCAGAATCAAAGGCTGCCAGGAGAAGGGGCAGGATGGGGCTGGAGGGTGCTTAAAAGAGACTCAGGTACTCAATGGGAGTTTCTAAGAGTCCCTTCTAGGCCAGTACTGGGAATATTAGAAGCCATGTCTTGTGTACAGGCCCAGCCAGGAGAGATCAGCTGGGAGATGACCATTCTGGGGTCTCTGGTAGCAGAATAAGTAAATGAGCTAGCTGAGCTGGGGATTCACTAGCTCTGACTCCCCAAAAGTTACCCTCCTACCACTCAGAGATCATATGAGCCCAATCTTCCAGGTGACAGTACTGGACCAACAACCCAATGTCCAGAATTACATTTGGCTCATAGCCTGGCATAACCACTATTCTACCTAAGACCAATCTGATCAAACTGGCCCTTCATTGAAAACCTCTCACAGCTCTCCACTGACTTCTCCAAAGTCAATATAGCCCCCACTTGCCTCTACAGTCTAAATGCCCCCATCACCTTCCTCTGGTCTCTATAATCATCCACAACCAAGGGTGGTGCTCCTCTGAGGCTATAAGCTTGTCACCATGTCTCACTTTGATACCTCCCCTTGAGCTATTCCCTCTGCTTAGAAAGTTTCTGTCTCTTGTTTGCTAAATGAAATCTTCTATATACTCCCAAGACGTCCAGCTCAGACATTACCTCCTTTGTGTACACCTCCCCTGACATGCATCCGACTGCTCCCAGGACCCACTGTGATCATTTAGTGCTAGTAGCTCAGGCCACTGGGATCCATGCCTCTGTCTTGGTATTCTGAGGGTTCTTTCCTTTTCTCTTTGCCACTGTAGACTAACACAGTGCCTGACACATGCTATACACTGAATGCTTTGATCCACCCAATCTAATTCATCTTCAAAAGTGGGACAAGCAACACTGAGAGTAGGAACAGGGATTTTAGGGCTACGTGGTCAGGAAACTCAGCAGTGCTGAATCACATGTCAAGGAATAGATTCTCTGTTGGATGATTGTTCTAACCTAGTTAGGCCAGTGAACAAGTCTCCATCTGAGACTAGGTTCTCATGCCGGTTCCCACCCCAGGACATAATCAGTTCTCTTCTCCATAGAGAGAACATGCTACAGGGTTGACCTTCCATGACAAGAAACAGTGTCTGACCAGAACTGAAAAACATTTTGTTTTCATTGCAATATTCCTATAATTTTCTCTTTTTGACAAGTAGTATTACTTTTAATTTAGGGCAATGATAACAAAGTTTCCTTTTAATTATGAATTTATTTATGTATGAAAACTGAGTCAAGCTCTGTTTGTAATGGCAAAAAAATGTAATTCATCTAAACATCCAGAAACAGGAGGATGAATAAATAAACTGTGGTATATTTAGACAAAGGAACAATACACAACAGTCAAAATGAATAAATTTGGGCTAATTATATTATCATAATTAAATCTCAAAAATCTAATGAGGAAGGAAAAACATTGCAGGAGGAGATTACAATATGGTATCACTTATCTAAGCTTAAAATATACAAAACAATATTGTGTATTTTATGGATACTTGGATCTG